GAATCAAACACTCGTCCGTGTTTAAACTTTTGATACTCGTCTGTATCTCCTTTCAATACTCGTCCGTATTGATTCAAACACTCGTCCGTGTTTAAACTTTTGATACTCGTCCGTATCTTCTTTCAATACTCGTCCGTATTGAATCAAACACTCGTCCGTGTTTAACCTTGGATACTCGTCCGTATCTTCTTTCAATACTCGTCCGTATTGATTCAAAACACTCGTCCGTGTTTAACCTTTCTTGATGCTCGTCTTTGTCGTTTATCTAAAACAATCATCATGTCATAACCCATGTAATCATCGTCGAACCTGAGATCGCCTCTTGGCTAGGTTCTTCCTTCAAATCATCGTTGAACCTGAGATCGCCCTTTGGCTAGGTTCTTCCTTCAAATCATCGTCGAACCTGAGATCGCCCTTTGGCTAGGTTCTTCCTTCAAATATTTGTTGAACCTGAGATCGCCTCTTGGCTAGGTTCTTCCCTCAAACCTTTGTCGAACCTGAGATTGCCTCTTGGCTAGGTTCTTCCTTCAAATCCTTGTCAAACCTGAGATCGCCTCTTGGCTAGGTTCTTCCCTCAAACCTTTGTCGAACCTGAGATCGCCTCTTGGCTAGGTTTTTCCTTCAAATCTTTGTCGAACCTGAGATCGCCTCTTGGCTAGGTTCTTCCCTCAAACCTTTGTCGAACCTGAGATCGACTCTTGGCTAGGTTCTTCCTTCAAATCATCGTCGAACCTGAGATCGCCTCTTGGCTAGGTTCTTCCTTCAAATCATCGTCGAACCTGAGATCGCCTCTTGGCTAGGTTCTTCCTACAAATCATCGTCGAACCCGAGATCGCCTCTTGGCTAGGTTCTTCCTTCAAATCATCGTCGAACCTGAGATCGACTCTTGGCTAGGTTCTTCCTACAAATCATCGTCGAACCTGAGATCGCCTCTTGGCTAGGTTCTTCCTTCAAATCTTCTTCGAACCTGAGATCGCCTCTTGGCTAGGTTCTTTCCATACACTTTGTCTTAGAATCTGAGATCGCCCTTCGGCTAGGTTCTCTGTCAAATCACTCTCATGTGTCACCCTCGGATCGTAGGTCGCCCGTAGACCTCGTCCGCTGTCTTTTCATACCAACCATTCGTCTTGTATTGGCATCACGCCACGTTACAAGTCCAATCTCTGTCCCTTCATTGAAAAAACAAAAAAAATTCCCCCAGTTAATGCAATAAATAATAAAGAAAACTCTTTCTCCCTCAGGACAAATTTTTTGGCATTGATATTTAATCATCTTCAACCTTGAACTTCCGAAAGGCATTTGCCAATCGTACTTTCAGGTTTAAGACGATTAAATAGGGGCAGTTGTAATACCCCAAATTTGTCCTACCCTTTTACTTCCTATCTGGCTTACGCATTTTTGCACATATATAATTTCCATTAGGTCATCTAACACATCATGCATCATTAATGAATAAATTGGCATAAGATCATGGATCTCGAGGAATAAGGGTTGGTGTATGGCTTTAAGGCTCCCATCTTCACACAAGCTTGTTTCAGTTGATTTCTCCATTAATAATTTGTTTGAAGCTAGGTTTTCATTTCATGGACCTTATCATCATCAAGCTACGAGGCTATTCTTTTCTTCTCAATGTCAAGTTGCAAGGTTTTATGAGACGAAGCTAAAAATCAGGGTTTATACATTTTCATACTTGAGCTTGTCAACATTCTACCTGAGGTTCATTCCATATCAAGGTATTCACATGTCTCATCTTTCATATTCATCTGCAAAGAATCCCTCAGGGCATAGTCATTATCATCTATTGAGAAGGAGTCCAAGACGTCGTTATTCTAGTGCTCATATAGTCGGGACATGGTACAAGATGTTGATTGTGATCAAGGTGTCATTATTTCAAATGCTTGTTGCTTGACACACAAGTTTGGTTTATACTAAGGAATTGAATTGAATTAGGGATTCATTGAGGTTGTAATTTGATCGAAACTCGTTCATTAAGATTTGAAGAGGATTTGGAGTGAATAAAAGTTCTTAAATATTTGTGTGGGATTTCTTAGAATAAAAAGGCATGTATCAAACTCATTTGTTTCATCCAACAATCAAAAGTGTCATCCAAACAGTCATTCAAGAACTCATTAAAGATTCAAGTCTCTTCGTGATTACCTTGCAAAAATATTTTGGATCCATACCATGATTATTTGAATTCATACAAAAGCCATTTCATTATGTGGAAATAAAGTATGGATCTTTTTGTCATGGCAAGCTTCAAACTTGAAGTTCCGTTCGAAATGTTATTCAAGTATCGATAAAATCTTATCCAAATTCATTCAAAGTGAAATTAGAGCATGGAAGCATCATTCATTTATCATCCATCAAAATTAGGGATCTATTCCCATTTCTTCCATCAACGTTTGTTTCAGGGACTTAAGCTAAGTATTCAAAATAGCGTGGATACTACGTGGAAATCATTTGAAAAGAAATAAAATGGGTAGAAAGGTTCATGCTTTGGTGTTTGGAAATTTGCTTCTTTCATTCTACTCTATATTTGGTGAAACGGAAACTGCAAGGTTTCTGTTTGATAAAATGCCTGTGAGGAACTTAACTTCTTGGAACACTGATATCTGGGTATGTTAAGAATAATCAATCAGGGAATACTTTGGTGGTTTTTGATAGAATGAGAAGATGTATGGTGTTATTGGAGATGGGATTACTTTGCTTGCTCTTTTTGTCTGTTTGAATAACTCAAACTCGAGGGTGGACTGAGTGAAGTCTCGGTTTTTGCAGATCCTGTCATTCAATTATAGGATTCAACAACTGAGTTAGTTATAAGATGAATTGTTTGGGCCATCATAATTATAAGATTAAGAATTTAATTTAACTTCATATGACCCAATATAACATTTAAGTGATATGGTTTCAGAAGTATACACTCTTATTTGAGTATATTTTTTTCACTTTTATGGATATAGTGATATTGATGTGTTTATAAGCAGATAGCTCAGTGTTTCGATAAAACACAGTTTATTAATCTCACATATAGGAAAGCACACAAAAAAAAAATACACACAAGAAGAAATGTTTAGATGTCTAAACATTGCTTCATTATTCAAATATTATTTGCGTAGCACATGTAGGAGCATTATGAAAATCCCAAGCAGTAGATATTATTTCCGGCTGGTGCCATGACCATTCTTCCTGTCAAATTGGGAAGTTAGCCATCAACTTTCAAGTCTGTTTCTGAATCCCAAGGGAACGGCTGGATTGGCTTAGTTGCCTCAAGAAGAACATCAACAGGAATATTTGGTTCTGATCGCTTTAATGGTGGTATGCCATGATTGTAGTCTTGAGGATCTTCACGGTAATCCTACAATTTGAAGGGAAAGGTTTCAGAGGCAGCAAAGTGATTATTAAACTTAAGACAAAGTTCTAAACATGACAATATGAATTTGGTCCTAAAACATAAGAATTCTAAGTTTCTATACTTATGAACTTCATGCTTTTGGTTGCAAAAACCAAACTTCAAGCTTCCATAACATCTCAAAGTAATCTCCATGCTTGATGCCCTTATGTCTTGAATTTCTTCACCATGTTTTATTCGCATCATCCATGACCAAACTTGCTGTTAAAACCATCTTCAATATACCTTTTCATTCACCATGCCAAGCTGCACCACTGAACCTGCACCACACACATTCATTATCATGATCATAAAATCTAAAAATATAGCATAAAACTAATATGTTCATGCACACATCAAGTCACCCTGTTGTTTCAAGAATACCATGACATCACATCTGCTTGCTAACCTCACTTCACCTTCAATTTATTTTCATAACCGAAAATAACTGATACTAAGAGAAATCCATCTCGGTAATTCACTTCATTAACTTTCCTAACATATTTTTTCTAACCTCCTTAACCATAACTTTCCTAACATCTTTCATAATCAAACTAACTCAACTATAACCAACTTTCCATTTTCCCACCTCCTAACCACCTAACAGAATCTGTAACCAACTGCATAACAGAATTTTTGATTTCCTAACCAACTAACAGTCCAACCAACCACCTAAACCAATTCATAACAGCCTTTAACCAACTTTCTATACAATCTAACAAACTCCCTTACAGAAAAAGGAGAGAGCATATAACAGAATTTCAGTTTTTAGATTGAAGAGACTCAGATTCATCATTTTTTTTCAACTCTACAGTAGAGATTAAGACAAAAAACTTACCAATTGAGATTCCCGCTGGAATTCTGTAGAAGAATCTTCATCTTTCCCTGCTCTAATCTCATTCTCCCCTCCATAACCATCCTTCTCCCCTCTCTACAACAACCACATCGCACACCTTCAAACACCTTCTTCAACCTTCAATTCTTCATAACTACTTCACAATCACCTCTATCGCTTCTTGAACCTCCATTGTACTCTTCAAGCTTCTGCAAAACTCCATAGCAGCACCTTTAATTATCTTCTATCTTTAAACGGTTTTGATCTTCATCAGTGTCTCTGCACTCTCTTTGAATCGCATCGTCATCTTCATATTTAAACCAAACCCTCATCTCTCAAAAAATCTTTCTGAAATTCTTGGAACTTCAGCATCACAACAATATCCATTCAACCTTCATCTCTGAAACAAAATTCATTGTTCCTTCAACATCACCATCTTCGCATCAACATCATTGAGTCTTCACAATATATGTCATCAATCAACACGAATTCGCAACGCACATCAACAAACTGCATCAATAGCAACATCACGACGCCGTAGAAGACGGAAAATTTGAAAGCGAGAAGAAGAAGAGGTGTATTCGTACCTAAGCTTCTGGAATCTCATTTCTGGACTTCTGAGAATCGTCTTCGTCAAGAATGGAGGTGTGTGTTTGATTTGTTCTTCATTCATCACGTCAACAATTATGTTAAGAAGAAGGTGAAGCGGAGTTAAGACAAACGACGAAAGGCGAAGGAAATCATCGGAGATACCTCCATGGTGGCGGTGTGCTGTTAGGAGAAAGAGAGAAAGGAATTTATGCCGCGTTTTGAGAAGGAAATCGTGTTTGTAAGAAGTTGAATACGACACGGTCTGAGAAAGAAGATGATAGAAGAGACTGATATTGATAGGGGATAATCACCGGTCACCGTTGTAAGAAGAGAGTAAGGAGGCGGCGCGCTTCGTGAGGGAGAGGAAGAGACTTTTTTTTCTAACCCTAAAACCCCTTTCCAATTTCATATCTTTTCTTTTTAGTTTTAATTGTTGCATTGTTTTATTATTTTTTAATTCAAATTAATAATAATTGTAACTAAGTAAATAATAAATAAAATGTTGAAAATCTTGTGGACAAAACTCTTGATTGGACCCTGGCTGTTTTGGCCTCTATGCCATTCTTCTACAGCACCCCACGAATTCAGCTTGTACCCCCTTGATCCTTCTAATTTTTCTTTCTTTTTATTTTAGTTTTTTTTAGTTTAATTTTTCTCTCTCAATTGATAATAAAATGATACAAAACAATAGAATATTTTAGGTTTCTTTAGAGTTTCTTTTTAGAATTTCGATTAGAATATTTTCTATTTTATTTTTCATATTTGGTAATCATTCTTATTGACTTTTTTAGTCAAGATTTTTGTGATAGCATTGATATAACTCTTGCAATGTGGAATACTCGGGGTTAATTCTTCAATCACTTGCCCAAGGGAACTTTGATAGAACTTCCTTACCGCTTGCACAATTTTGAAGAGGCAACAGACCTTCTCCGTTCAGTATCGTCACAACTCTATTTTATTCTTTATTTCAGTACTTTATCGCGAACCATATGCGTGCTGACATTAGGTAGAATTCCCCAAAAAAATCTAACTTTAGGTCTAACAATACGTAATAGCATTAGGTTTAGAAGTAGGCTAGTCCCCAATTGACTTTTCTTTCGCCTTTTGCATTCGCACCTAAAACTAAAACTCCTTTTCTCTTCAAAAATTCAAAACACTTTAAAACTACTGATGAGAATCACGCTTTTTCTTAGTACGGGAAATGATAAGCGGGTCTCTTCTCGATCTTATTGTTCTTCATCTCAAGCATAGGTGTGGTTCAATTCTCAAAAACTCCTTTCATAGCTAAGTAGAAAAATGACTAATATCTCTCTCTTGAGGTCGACTAGTCATTATCTGCAACAAAAATACAAAGCAAATTCAAATCTTTTGTGCGCCCGAGCACTTTTCTTTTAAACCCTTTTCAGGTAAGGACATGATTAATGTACTTCTGTGCCAACGCATAAGTCTCCGAAGGTCGAGCTGCCGCAGAAGGCGGAATTAACTTCGTCCATAAAAAACACAAACAAACAAAAACATATGAGCCGAACTACGGTAGCTCTGATTCCTCAAAAAGGATACGTAGGCATTGGGGTAGGGCCCAAGCGAGCACAATTTTATTTTCGCTACATTCTTTTCCCCTTTCTTTTGCATGCATCCCTTTAGCAGTAATAAACAGTAAGCATAGATTAAACACACCCATAAGATAGATAGCAAGAGTGGATACCGTAGAGTACTACGGGCGTGTGGGGTGCTAATACCTTCCCCTCGCGTAACAGACTCCCTTACCCGATCTCTCGGTCGCAAGACCGTGACTTCTCCATTCTCAGGTTTTCTCGATGTTTACCTTTCCCTACATGTGGGATAAAAGACGTTCGATGGCGACTTCATTGTTTGATGATTTTCAGCCGGTTGTTTCAGTTTCTAGCAGTGACTTCTTACCCTCAGTGGGTTGCCAACGTGGTTCTAGTGCCGAAGAAAGATGGTAAGGTCCGAATGTGTGTTGATTATAGGGATTTGAACAGGGCGAGCCCTAAGGACGACTTCCCTCTGCCTCACATCGACGTTCTGGTTGACAACACTGCTCAGCATAAGGTATTCTCCTTCATGGACGGGTTCTCCGGTTATAATCAGATCAAGATGGCTCTTGAAGATATGGAGAAGACCACTTTTGTTACTCAGTGGGGCACCTTTTGCTACAAGGTCATGCCTTTTGGGTTGAAGAATTCTAGGGCAACCTACCAACGTGCCATGGTTGCTTTATTTCATGACATGATCCATCATGAGATTGAAGTATACGTCGACGATATGATTGCAAGGTCCCAAACTGAGGAGGAACACCTTGACCATCTGCAGAAGCTGTTTGACCGGTTGAAGTTGTACAAGCTGAGGTTGAATCCAAAAAAGTGCACCTTTGGGGTGAGATCTGGAAAACTGCTAGGTTTCGTCGTGAGCGACAAAGGTATTCAAGTGGACCCTGCCAAAGTGAAAGCCATACAAGAGATGCCAGTTCCCAAGACAGAGAAAGAAGTCAGAGGCTTTCTAGGACGGCTGAACTACATTGCCCGATTCATCTCACATCTAACTGCTACCTGTGAACCAATCTTCAAGCTACTGAAGAAAGATCAGGTAGTATGTTGGAACGATGAATGTCAGGCCGCTTTCGAAAGAATCAAAGAGTATCTCCAAGAGCCACCCATCCTTATGCCACCGGTTGAAGGGAGACCTCTAATCTTATACTTGACAGTACTTGACAGCTCAATGGGGTGTGTGCTGGGGCAACATGACGAGTCTGGCCGAAAAGAGCACGCTATTTATTACCTTAGCAAAAAGTTTACCGACTGTGAGACCCAATACTCACTGCCCGAGAAAACTTGCCGCGCTTTGGTATGGGCTGCTCGCCGGCTGAGACAGTATATGTTGACTCACACTACTCTATTGATTTAAAAAATGGATCCAATCAAGTACATCTTCGAAAAGCCTGCCTTGTCCGGAAGAATAGCAAGATGGCAGATGATCTTGACTGAATATGACATCCAGTACACGACTCAAAAAGCAATCAAGGGAAGTGTATTGGAAGACCATTTGGCACATCAGGCAGTGGATGACTACCAATCTATGAACTTTGAATTTCCAGACGAGAATATCATGGTAGTGACTGATTGTGAAGTACCTGGACCGGATGAAGGACCTGAGGAAGGATCCCGATGGTCTATGCACTTTGTCGGAGCCTCAAACGCTTTGGGTAATGGCATTGGCGCTGTGATCATATACCCTAAAGGCACTCATACTCCACTTACCGCACGATTATGTTTCAACTGCACCAACAACATGGCGGAGTATGAAGCGTGCATCATGGGTCTCCGAGCTGCAATTGACCTAAGGATCAAGTTTCTTAGTGTCTTCGGAGATTCCGCTCTCGTGATCAGTCAGATCAAAGGCGAGTGGGATACGAAACACCCAAATCTTATTCCCTACAAGGAGTACGTGTTGACATTGATCCCCCATTTCGAGGAGATAACATTTGAACACTTCCCAAGAGAAGAGAATCAGTTGGCGGACGCGCTGGCTACGATGTCTTCTATGTTCAAAGTCAAATGGGACAATGAGGCTCCCCGGATCATTATCTGGAAGTTGGATGAACCTGCACATTGCTGTGATCTTAAGGCTGAAGAGGTAACTGAAAAACCTTGGTATCATGAAGTGAAGAGGTACCTTGAAGCTTAAGAATACCCCGAAGGCGCATCTGTTAATGTCAAGAAGTTTCTGAGGAGGTTCGCGGAAAAGTTCTTCCTCAGCAACGACATTCTCTATAAACGAAACCATGATTCAACCTTACTGCGTTGTGTGGATAAGACTGAAGCAGAAAGGATCATGGCAGAGTTGCATGAAGGTACCTTCGGAACGCATTCTAGTGGACACACCATGGCAAAGAAAATCCTTCGGGCAGGATATTACTGGTCCACAATGGAAGCCGACTGTTATCAACATTCTCGGACGTGTCACAAATGCCAGATCTATGTTGATAAGGTGCACATTCCTCCAGTTCCTTTGAACATATTGACAGCACCTTGGCCTTTTGCAATGTGGGGCATTGATATGATCGGCGAGATCAGACCTACGGCATCCAACGGGCATCGTTTCATCCTGGTAGCGATTGATTACTTTACGAAGTGGGTTGAAGCAGATTCCTTTGCCACCGTAACCAAGAACGTCGTGGCACGGTTCATTTGGCACAACCTAATCTGTCGATACGGTGTACCTGAGAGGATCATTACGGACAATGGTACCAATCTTAACAACAAGATGATCACTGAGCTCTGCGAGCAATTCAAGATACAGCAACACAACTCTTCTCCTTACCGGCCGAAGATGAATGGGGCCGTAGAAGCATCTAATGAGAACATCAAGAAGATTGTGCAGAAGATGACAGTGACGTACAAATATTTCCACGAAATGTTACCGTTTTCTTTTCATGGGTACCATACCTCAGCAAGGACGTCAACAGGGGAAACACCCTTTTCCTTGGTCTATGGCATGGAGGCAGTCCTGCCCATCGAAGTCCAGATACCCTCTCTCCAGATAATGAAGGATGCAGGTTTGAGCGAAGATGACTGGATCCAGACCCGGCTTGATCAATTGAACCTAATTGGCGAAAAGAGACTCACTGCTATTTGTCATGGTCAGACGTACCAAAAACGGATGATCAAGGCATTTAACAAGAAAGTCAGACGACAAGAGTATCAAGTCGGGGACCTGGTAATCAAGCGCATCATTCTACCTCAAGGTGATCCCAGGGGAAAATGGACCCCTACGTACGAAGGGCCATTTGTGGTTAAGAACATTTTCTCAGGAGGAGCTATGATTCTAACTACCATGGATGGTGACGACCTTCCTCACCCCGCCAATGCAGACATAGTAAAAAGATACTACGCATGATTAAAAGACCCGCTAGGTTGACACACCTAGGAAAATATAAGGGCTTCTCGGCGAACCAAAAGGGTTCGGGCAAAAATAAGGGATGAAATGAAAAAAAATCTGTACACCCGGCAAGTCGAAAACCTGAAAAGGCGGCTTGGGCAAAAATAGGTATCCTGGTGGACTGAAAACCCGAAAGGGCGGTCCAGGCAAAAGTTAGGGATAAGCGTAATACTATGTCTCATTGGATCACCTCGCATCCAGACTTCGGTATCGACTATCAGGCTCAGGCGGCACCAATCAATCAGCTTCATCTCCAACTAAGCAGCAAAGTGATGAGACACTTGAAGACATAAAGGCGATAGCAGAGTTGGAACCCAGTGGGATTTTTCACGTAGCTGTTTTGTTTTTCTTTTCACAAATTGTATAAACTCTATTTTGTTCGGCGGCGTTCTCTTACTAGGACGTCAGCCTCTTGTACATAACGCCTATTTACAGGCAAATT